AGATCTCTTAGAGCCTTCCCACCTCTGGGATCTGAATAGGCAGTTTCATTCTTGGGACATAATGAGAGCAGTCTAGTATCTCATTAGCAGATAGCATATCTTCCTTTGAAAACCTCAGAATCTGGATAAACGTATTATTTGATGTGGTCTATTTTTGTTACCTTTCTGAGGTTGAGGAGTTTTGGGGAATGGTTAGGAAACCTTTCCTCTAGTCCATGCAACATTTTTGTACTGATCGAGTGGATAAGGCAGTTATTATAACGATAAAAAATACTGTTTGTTTTTTTTTTTAAACACGTGGAGCTCTTTTCGCATATTGGAAGTATTTGCATAACTAGATCTGGGCAGCCAAGTTACAGAGACAGTTTCTTCCATAAAAACCAGTCCACTTAGCAACGTAGAAAACCACTGAGGTCCAGTCTACCTCTCTAGCCCACAGTTCCTGTTATTCGTGGATGTTGTCGAGTTAATCCCAGTTTGTAGCAACCATGTGTGACAGAGAACTGTACCGTAGGACTTTTTGAGCTGGAGGGGTTTTTTTGGAGATCATTGGTTCTTTATCTCATAGACTACTAGGTTGGAGGTTCAAGCCCCTAGTCTTTCCATTAGCAGCCATATGTTAACTGTTGTGTTACCAGGACTCCTTCTTTAATCCCTGTTGGAAGATGAGGCTATTTTTCACTTATTCAGGGAGGACTGTAGTGTTCTTGAGAAATCAAACTTCTCTAGGTAGGACCCAGCACAGATCTGCAGCGCAGAAGGCCTGTGTCTGCTTGTTTTTCATTCCTTCCACTGTTGTCACTGCCTTGGAAAGCCTTCACCTCCCTGGCTTTTAAGTCCTTCATCCTAAGGCTTCAGGGTCAGCAGGCTGACTTTATAGTGTCCTTCTCCTCTGTTCAACTTAAATCCTCCAAGTATGACATTCATTCCCCTTTCTAAGGCCCTGCCACTTTGCTCTTAGCTTTTCTTGGATGGGCCATACATCTTTGATGCTCATCTCAAAGAACCGTCACAGTTGAAAGCCTTCTTTAACTTTTTCAAAGGTGTTTCTCTTCTACTTCCTTTGAACTTTTTCCTTTAAATTTTGCTCACTGGCGTAGGAGCCTCATCTTGCTACCTAGGTTGTAACCTTGGATTCTTTTGTTGTTGTTGTTGTTGCTATTGTTAACCTATCTGTCTATTCCAGTACTGCCAAGCCTTAGTAAATTGCTAAGACTTGTGCCAATGGTTGCTGAACCATTTTGTCCCTTTTGGAGAGGAGGATTTGAAATTATGTGTTTTGGTTGGACATTTGTGAGCAGGCAGAATAGTTGGGTATGGTTAATTCGTTTTTGGTAAATACTGGGCTGATTTTCAAAGAGTGTGTCCAAAATCAGCAGATACATTTTAATTTCTTTAGGAATCAGGAGTCTGGACATCCAAATGAATTTCCAAGAATCGTGGAATATTCTGATTGAGCTTCCTAATTTTGCAGAAAAAATGTAAGCCTTGTATCACATGGGAAGCCAGTGTCATAGCTGGGACCTAGACCAAGGTCTTATAATTTCCAAGGAAATAGTTTTTCTCCTGTACCAGCTCCTTAAACAAATGAGGTTTCTTTCTTGAGAGGGAGAGGAAAAAACCCAACCCCACTTGATGTGTTTTCTGAATCACAAAGTCAGATGAGCTAAAATTGACCAATGAGGAGAAATTAAACTATTCTGTGACTTTAGGAGAAAAATATTGAGATAGTTTTCTTTCTCCAGCTTGAGGTCGGAATAGAGTTTTCTTTGAAGTTAGAGTTGTTGGGTTTTTTGGTTTTGGATTTGTTTTTTTTTTTTCCATTTATCTTATTACTTTAGATTAGACCCATCCGAGTTTTGTTGGGTGTGTAAAAATTTTCAGTTGTAGGGTTCAAAATATATTGTATTATGGTTTGGGTGTCTATTCAACTTGCCCAGTTTAGAGAGGATAGTAGCATCACCATTTGGAACTATGAAATCCAGAGATTAACTCTAAGCTCATTTGGTTTCATTCTCTTTGATTTCATTGCTTTTCTTGTTAGATGGGTGGCATCCTCTTTGTAACATGAAGTAGGAGTTATTGCACTCTAACTGTGTGCCAGGCATGAAGCAGTGACATCATCTCATCATCTCATTTAATCCTCATGATGGCTGCCTAGGTAGGTACAGCTGCCATCACCATATTATAGACAGCAAGGCTGGTGCTTAGGAGAAGTTAGGTGTCCTGCCCTTGTAGGACTAGAAAAGTGGACCTGGATCAAGCCTGTCTGGTTTCTGAAGCTGAATCCCTCACCCTCCCGGCTAGCCTGCATCAGATTCTTGGCTTGGTTATGCAATACCCCTCTTGAATGTGATGCTGCATTCGTGTTTCTGCCTCTGCCAGAGCTGGATTGGAATTTCTTAGCAGCTTTGTGACCTTGGGCAGATCATTTATACACTCCAAGCCTCATTTGTCCATTCAAAAATTGTATATAAAAATCTCATGTAAATTCACTTCTTAGTGCACAGACAGAAAGAAGACTGTTATTGCTTTATTTATTCCATCCACGTTAAACAAGACAATTCACAAGGAAGAAATGGGTTCCTGAAGTGGTCTGCTTTCTTTTTCTTCCTGAGCATCTTGGTGTGGACTGGGGTAGTGTAGTAGATCTTACTGCTGTGGGATCTTCTTTATGTCTGCTTCTTCCTTTCAACTCTCACATCATTTCTGGAGGAATCTGGATATGTAAGTGACCTTTATAAA